TTAGGTTTTGAGGTAACATTTTCCTTGTCTATATCTAATCTCTCGGTAAACGGGGCTTTTTCTTGAATACTCGACTACGGAATAATAACACTGAGATAACTTACATACCTTGGGATCGAATGGCTTGCCGATCGATTTGCAGTGCGAATCAAGTCGGACGGACAAACCTCTGCGTGAAATTGTCTCTGCCGCCATTCCGCCAACAGCCGGACAGATTCTCAAAAACGAATTGTGAAAGCCCCGCCTGTGACATTCCGCTATTAATCGAATGCATTCAAAGTTCGTGAAGGTTAAAGATTGCTGGAGTACAATAATCACGGTGCCTTTATAGCTATCCAAGGGGAAGAGTAGTGTATTTATGAGTTAACATCCAACATTATTAGTTTTTTATTGAGCAAAAATATGGCAAGTATCGAAGCCTTGCCTTGTCTTGTTCTATGCTTTTATAGTATTTTGCGCACAAGGCAAGAAAAGGTTGTCTTCTTTATTTTCGTGCGTTATTGATAATATTTGTTCTATATATTCTGAACCTCGGTTTTTTTCGTGTGTTATTCACTCCATAATTCTTATACCGCTTTTCCATTTCTCTGAACTGCATTTTTGTCCAGCGTTCATCTGACCTTGCAGGATAACAACAACGCTCACTTATCATTTTCATGTTTCATCAATAGAGGGTAGAGAGCGGATCCGTGGAAGCCACTTCTTTGCAGCCACCGAACATATGAGATTTTTTTAGGTTAGAGCAATGCCCCACCAAGGCAGTGGCACTCCCGTGAATGGTACACATCATTGTTCAAATAAGGCGTCGTATTCCTTCTTGAACCCGGCAACTGTCGGTAGCAACAACATCTGGAGGTAGATGGTTCTATGCATTCATGGCGCGCCTTGAGAGTCCGTCAATGTGCGGAAGGCCATCTCTTCTCTGTACCACCAGTTTGAAGCAGTGTCCGCGCGTAGGCATATCAACGGCCAGTTTGACGTACTGTGCTATCTCCGGGACGTCACGGCAAACGATCACTTTGTACATCATGATTTGGCCGCCTCTGGACCGTCAAAATTCGAGCGTGAACAGGTCCAGTGCTTTACAGCGTTCCGGATATGTCAGCCTTCTCCCTTCGGGCACCATTCTTGACCCCAGCCGTTGCACCTATTCGACATCGGTCATCTCGCCCTTCGTACACGGGAACCAAGCGGTCGATCCATACTCCATGATCGGGAGGGTGAATGTGACCATAAGTGTACGGAATAACTTCATGGACCAGTACGTGAATGCCAGACATAGTGCCAGACCCTTGTGTCTCGCCAGAGTTGATTGTTCTGGGGTTTTGAGGTTTTCTTTAATGATAATGCCAAGTCACAAGTACTCCTAACAGCGGCCAGTGTCATGTTGCCCACTGTATAGGGTGGGCGGTCCTGGTTTCTCCCAATTATCAGCAAGTGTGATTTGTTCACGTTGACCGGTATATCGATCTCCAATGACCATTCATGGATCACATTAAGATCATTTTGGAAAGTCATTGTGTCTCCGGGGCTGCGTATAACACACCATACTTTGAGGTCATCCGCAAACAGAAGGCATGGAGACGAAAGTCTTGATGATATATCAGCAAAGTGTATGGAAAATAGTCTGGGACCCAGCAACCACCCTTGGGGTACGCCACTACGAGCCTCATATGCAGAAGTACACCCTTCACCGACCCTGACCCGGCATTGTCTACCGAACGGGTACCCCTTTGTCCATTTGACTACAGCTCTTGGGATGGGCGTATTACTGAGCTTGGTCAGTAGGAGCACGTGATTGACTTTGTCAAATGCCTTGCTGAGACCAATTAAGGCCGCATGAACCGGTAGTCGTTTTTCTTTCGCTTCGCACCAAGCTTCGCGTGCCACCACGAGGTTAGTGGTGCACGATTTGCCTTTGACAAAGAAAGTGTTGTTCTATCGGCAGGATTATGGCTGCCCTAATGTGGGCATCGATTTCATGGCAGATGAAATTTTCCAGAACTTTCACAAATACCGAAGTCAGGCTGACTGGTCGATAGTTTTGGGGCAGGAAACGGTCACCACCTTTGTATCTCTGAGTTATTATACTCTGCTTCCAATCTATCAATCTACTTAGTGTATTCTCCACATCTTCATAGGCAATTATTATGCCACTTTCAGTTCGATCAGGGATGTCGAAGACTTCACTGTCGGGCGTTGGTGACAAGTAGATAGTGGAGTATTGTTCAGCTAAGAGTTCAGGCATACATAACTCATCTGTTTGGAGCACACCGTCTGTATTGTGGAGACCTTGAATGCCCGGGGTTGCACGACTTTTTCTTTTCAGGAATGAATAAAATCGATTGGGCAGTGTGTCAATGTTTTGCACCAGATCTTCCTCGTACGCTACTTTTTTTCGACCTCATTATACGCTCGCATTCATATCCGATTGCTTTGTATGTCGCTTTCGCTTCGGCTGTCCTCAAGATCGTGAGGGCCTTGTAGGCACTTTTCCTTGCCTTCAACTTGCGTTTTATCTCGCCATCGATCCATCGGGGGGACACGCTGCCCATCCACAGAGCTTCAGTGGGACAAAGTCGACACAGAGCCGCTCAATATTTCCACGGATCAAGTTCCAACGTTCTTCGACATTG